GAAGGAAGGAAGGAAAGAGTGAGATAGAAAAAGAAAGGAGGGAAAAAAGAAAGAAAGGAAGGAAGGAAGGAAGGAAAAAGAGGGAGGGAAAGAAAAAGAAAGAAGGAGGGAAGGAGGGAAAGAAAGAAAAAGAAAGAAAGAGGGAAGGAAAGAAAGAGGGGGGGAGGGGTAGAAAAAAAAGGAGGGAAGGAGGGAAAGAAAGAGAAAGAAAGAAAGAAAAAGGGAGGGAGGGAAGGAAGGAAGGAAGGAAGGAAGAAAGAGGGAAAAGAAAGAAAAAGAAAGAGGGAGGGAAGGAAGGAGGGAAAGAAAGAAAGAGAAAGAAAGAAAGATTAGTAAATGGACAGACTGAATAAAGATTAGTAGATAGATAAAAACTGGATTTATGGATGGATGGATGGAAGGAAGGAAAGAAAGAAAGGAGAGCAATTATACCTTCTCCATGCCAGAGAGGAGTCGCTGCAATTCTTCCAATTTAAGGTCCTTCATTTCCAGCTCCGTTTCGGCATTCCGGAGAGCGATGCCGGAGTGTTCCGCCTCCCTCCGGTAGTGCGAGATGGACGTCTGAGCGCCAGAGGAAAAACTGGATTTAGCCCTGTCTCCCCGCCCAGTTAGAAACCCAGGATAATGGGGGGCTGCCCAGAGACCCAAGCAGCCTTTCCCCCCCCCACTATAAAACACGACTCGATCCCAGCACATCTCAAGCTGATTGCAATACTGCCCATGCCTGCTCTGTTCCTCTTCCCTCCTCCTCCCTTTTTCCTCGCTTGCTGTCCATGTTAGACTCCAAGCTTTTTTGGGGGGGGGGAATCACTCTCCCTATTTACAAGCTTAATAAGCCTGTTACCTCCTTAAGCTAAACGGTCCTTGGTTTCTTCTGGGCTGCCCAGTTTGGAAACCTCCTTCGTGTGTCCGAGTGGAACAGCCAGACTCAAATAATTCTTCCTTCCAGCAGCCTGTGAACCCCCCACCCCAGCCGAGCAATCCTCACTCCGCTGGTTTTTAACAGAAAAGGCCTTTTGTGGGTGTTTTTTTTGTTTGTCTGCCACTGTTAAAAGAGTCTGCAAAGCTTTTATCAATTTCTCCCCCGGGGGCTCAGGACACGCATTGCAGATTTCCCGCTAGAAACTCTTAAAACTCCTGTTTTAAGAGTCGTGCTGCAAGAAAGTCCGTTTGCACCCCAATATTTTTCGCCAGGCTCACCTCGTAGGCCGCGCGGTCCGACTGATGCCTCTTCTCCGCTTCCTGAAGTTTTGAAAAAAGTCTCTTGGTTGTCTCCCGCATGACGGAGATGTCCTCGGTGGGGTACGCGGGTTCGTCCTAGGGGGGCGGAGAAGGGGGTTCCATTATTCCTTCCATGTTTAAAGGGACTCAAAATCATCTGAAGGTGAGCAGGAAAAACTAAAATAACCATCCATTAAAGGGATGAGTTGCTAGACTCCCAGTGACCGTTCAGGGTTCTTAAATCGATCCACGGAAGCTGTCCACAAAAAAAAACACGTCTCTAAAACATCACAAGGCTGGTTTGGCCTGGTGCCCCCACGTTCTGGGAGGCACCCCTAAAGCCCTGCCTTTATTTATTCTTTGTTTATTTATCCCATGTTAGGAATCTCACTGAGCATCGCTCGCTGGCTGGAAAAATGACCCCCAAAACCACACACAAATATTAGAATAAAAACAGGGGAAACCAAGGATTAAAGTAACCAAGATTAAAAAGTCGCTGCCCCCCACCACCACCACCGGGAATCCTGGCACTAACCTGGCTTATGGATATTGTGCGATATGTTACAGTCCGAAGAGGCTGGAAGCCGTTTGACTTATCAGGGGGAAACTGCATGTCCGAAAGAAAAGGAGAGGAAAAATTAAATGCAGTCGAGCATGGCACCAGGGGCACCAATCCATCCTCTTGAAAAAGGGGGTGCTCCCATTTTTGGGGTGATGACTTTGGCATGGAGATGCGGGGAAGGACCCCACCTGTCAGACAGACACCCCAATTCCTTTCCCCAGAAGCTGAGCTCCCAAGGACCCATCGGGCGCGGCGCGTGTGCGGCTCAGCCAAGAAACACAACGCAGAGACAGAGTCAACAAGGCTGTGCCAGGCAGCCCAACATCTGGGCACGGCTGGGCGAAGGGAAGGGGGAGTGAATCATCCGGATAAGCAGGCTGGGTTTTGGTGCCAGGGAGACGCAAAGCATCTCCTGCCAAGCTGAGAAGAAAAAAATAAAAATCTCCTTTCTAGGCAAAGCTGGAGGGTTTGCCAACTCAACCCATCAACCATGGATTTGGGGGGAGGGAGGGAGGGGGCAGGAATAAGGCTGTCAGTTTTTGTGCAAAAATGCAGGTGATTTTAGGGAGGGTCGCTAAAAAAAGGAGGGGGTTTAACTGGCAAAATCTGAAGGCTGGATGCAAGCAGAAAAGAGGATTTTTTCTCGACAAGGTTTGACGGGGTGAAGCACCCAAAATTGCAAGCAAATTTTTGCAAGTGCCACAAAGAAAAAGAAAAAAAAAAGGGGGTGGGTGGGTTTCAACCTTTTTCCCAAAGCATTTCCTGAAGGGAGGACAAGAGCAATGAATGGAAACTAACCAAGGAGAGAAGCAACCTGGAACTAAGGAGAAACTTCCTGACACTGAGGACAATTAACCAGTGGAACTGCCTGCCTCCAGAAGTTGTGGGTGCGCCATCACTGGAGGTTTTCAAAAAGAGGCTGGACAGCCATGGCATTGGGTCTCCTGCTTGAGCAGGGGGCTGGACTAGAAGACCTC